TCAGTGGCGGGGGAGGCGGGCACGCTCCCCCGGCTCCAAATCCTCCTCAAAGCCGGTTTTCGTGCCGGTAGGAGCGTTGGTGGATCCCTCTGGTGAGAGGACGGGAGATGAGAACTCCTCTGCCCGGAGGAGGGTGATTCAAATTCACACAGTTACACACAGCTGAATCCATTTTAAAGTGTCTTTCACCTGGTGCAACAAGTGTATTTACTTCAAAGTGCTTTGCTCAGTCAGGAGGAACAGGGCTCATGAAGTCTCCAAACCTGCTTTCTGAAGCAGCTGACTAGATGCGTTGTTACGCTGTCCAGACTCACCAGAGGGAGGACGCTGGAGGCCCGCATGAAGACCAGGACCTTCCTTGGCTGTGCTTAGTGTTTCATTTCACATCTCAAGCATGCTTTTGAAGTGACTCTCCCAGCTGCCCCCCCCCCCCCCCCCCATGCTGTTGGTTTGGGTCACATCGCCAAGCGCTCTCGGGGGACGCAAACTGGCTTCCTCCTGGGAGAAACTAAACTGGAAGGTGCCATCTGGGGTGCATGGAAGGCATCCAGCTGGGGAGCTAGTCCAGAATAACCTCTTTCCAAACAGATATGGTGTGGGTGTTGGGTCATTGGCACCATTTCCCTTCACGGCTCTGCTGCTGCAGAGCTGCTCCTGTGCAGAAGCAGCCCCTGTGCTGTGTGCAACCATGAAGAGAAACCCTCGGGCTGAAGTTAATTTTTAAAAGGCATGCAACGATGATAGACCTTTTTTTGAGAGTCCAGCTTCCTTTTGCAGCAGCCTTCTGAAGCAGGAGGCTGCGCAAAAGGACACTCGCCATTATTCAGCCTTAGAAAATGTGCCAAAGGCTTTTTAAATGGGCCGGAGGGCCACAGAAGAGCGGTGTGAGTCCCAGCAGGGACAGGCTGACATTGGCAGAGTGCCGGCATCCCAAGTGTTGCACTGGTTGGGGGCAGAAGCAGCATCTGTAGTCCCCGGCATCAAGTGCTGAACACCGTGTTCCCAGTGTCCGGGCAGCACCTAGAGACCCTGCTATTACCTGTCACACATTGGGATGGACAGACAGACGGTAGGTTTCCTTTTCCTGAATGTCTCACAAAGGTTTGAGAGCCATCTCCCTTCAGCTCTGCGTTGGAGAGATTTCTCTTGTTTTGGGAAAGTGCATCAGGAGAGTTTTATACCCCATGGTGGAGGCAGAAAGACATGGCGTTTCTCAAGATGGAAACAAATCCTGTGGTGGGGCAGGCTGGTGAGCGGCTCTGCCCTTTGGGCTCCCCTGCCCCCCGGGGACAAGGTCCATCCCGCAGCTTTCGAGGGTGCAACGCTTGCGGTTCCTCCTTCCTACAGGCTGTGGATGCACGTGGCGCCGATCCAAGCTTGAATTATGGTGCTACTTCCTCTGGCGCAAACAGAAAGGGCTGCCAATGCCCAGCCGCCACCAGTGCCCATACGACTAAAAACCTTGAAGCTGTGCGCCAGTTTAATCATTGCAAGGCAGAAATCTCATATAAGGGTGTGACGCTCACTGTTGAAGTTTTTTGGTGGTGTGTTGGTTTGGGTTTTTTTCCAGCATGAGAGAAATAAACCAAGTTCCTCATCTTTGTTCAAAAAAAGAGAGAAAATACTAGGAAAAACGTGTGATAAATATGGATCTAAGTTAAACTTTACCATTTAAAGAATGAGAATTGAATGATGCATTCTTAGCAGGAAGTTGTCTGCATTTCTTAAATGAACAACCTTAAGTTTGAAAAATGACAACCGCACTTCGTTGAAACTTCGTTGTGTATTAAAAAAATAAGTAAGCACATTTTTCTCTCATGAACATGCTACTAAAATGGAGGGGAGGGGAAAGTGAAATTATAGGCTAACAGTAGTGTTGTTGACTTGTAAAGAAACAAAATCTTTTTCCTGATAGAACTGTGCTATAATGAAGATACAGAAAAGCTCCTGTCTCTGGAGAAAAAGCTTAAGGAAATAAGCGTGGCATGTTGACGTCTATCTGTTACAATATAGTTACAGTAGAACAATATTAAGGAACAAAATTAATCTGGATGTGTAATAAATAGTGAAATGAGGAATTTGAATAGCCCTAGACTGTACTTAAAGTAACTTATTTTGGACCACTTATTCATTGCAGAAAGCACTGATGCCCAGGAGTAAGATTATCACTGACAGTAATGTTTTAAAAACACCTCACAGAAATGTGTTTATCCCAAGCCTACCAGCAGCCTTGTATTCCCAACTTCTCAAGCATCCCAAGACACACAAGTGCCTGCCCAGACCTCCACATCTCTCGTCTTCACCGGGTGCAATACGGTAGCGGTGGAAACTACAGCCTGTAGTAATCCCGTACGCTGGGGTCAACCCCGTTAGGGAAAGGAACAGCAAGTGAGCTGGAAGCAGGTGATGCAGGAATAGGGTCTGTGTCACATTCAGGTGACTCGGACAGGGAGCTGACGCTGCTGATCGCCCTGACGGACCATCCTTGAACGTTGGACAGACCGCGGCTGGCTTCAGGACACACCTCTCCCAGCCCACCCTGATACCCGCTTCAAAGAAACTGACTATTTGCCAGATGAGCCAAGTGGAGTATTTTTTGCTTTGTTTGGGCTTTTGTTTGTTTTCTATTTTGGCTATGTTTCCTCATGATAAAAGCAGCCTTTGATATGAGTGCAGCACTTAACGATGTGCATCTCCTGTTCCTCCCGGCTCCCCTCTCTGGCTCCGTCTCTGTGCATCCCTGCCTCTTCTTGTAATGCTGTTGCTTCTAGTCATCTAACAACTGTTTCTCTGTTCTGTAAATTACTTTTAGCTCTGTGCCAGCATCCTTTCTCTGTAGGCTCCCCAAAGGTTCAATTATCTGCCGCTTGCTCCTTCCCTTCTTTCTTCTTGTGTAATTTTCATTTTAACACTCATTACCAGCTCCACACTGAAGATACCCAACTGTCCCTAGCTTTCACCACCCCGGTGGCTCCACACCCCTCTTCCTGACCTCAGCCATGCTCTGAAGCACAAACAATGACTTCATCTCAATGGTCATCATCGAAACGGCTCAAAGGCAGAAGTGTTTCTAAGAGGAAAAGGCAGTCTCTGAAGACACAGTTCCCCCTTATTTCCCTTTTCGGCTCCTCAGGAATGGACCGGGCTGTAAGAGGCATTACTGGTGGAGCTATCCCAGAAAAACCCGTTGACCCTGCAGTTTAACATCGCAGTAAGGGAATCAGTGTGGTCCCGCAATTAACAAACGATTAGCAAAAGGACCTTCTTGCCCAGTTAAGTCGTGCCGGTATGGTGGGGTTTGCTAACGGATTAGTCAGCAATGTGATTTTTACCAATGTGGTTACGCTGCCAACTTTTGTATGAACTGGCCTGAGCCGCGGTCTGAGACTTCCTCTCGCCTCCACTGTTCGCATGGCTGTGCTCCCTCAGTTCGGACTTCGACCGACAGCAGCGCAGTCGCACCATTGCTCTCCTACAACTTACCGGTCGGGGGGAAAGACTCATTCATGATTCCGTCTTTTCACCGCGTAACTCTCTTTTCACAGCTCTCAAGTCCCAGCTGTCCAGATAAAATTACACAGAAATGGCTGCCCTTCCTTTTCAGCTGTAAAGAGGACACATTTTTACATGAACTTCACCCAGTACCTCTAGGAGCACCTCCTTATTGTGGGTCCTGCCCCATGAATTGGCCTGAACTGCTTTCCGCGCATCAGAACAATCTCTCAGCATCTAGAGCACGTTTGCACTTCCAGAAAAAAGTTTTTATATACTTTAAGCTGAGAACTTTCAAAAGACTTTTCAGGGTTTAGACATTTACTGTAAAAAAAAGATATATCTATTTGATAATTTTGGAAATCCATGTCTTCAAATCTGACTGAAGTCTTGCCTAAATTTCCTCCTTCCCCTGTCTTAAAAGTACCAGTACTTGGTTTATATTTTAAGTGACTGTGCTCATCATCCTTATGTTTCAGGAAGTTCCAAAGATGTGCCACAGTCGTTTTATTACAGACGCTACAGAACACAAAGCTGAGGAGCTCTCCCTGTGACGACACCGAGCAGACTTCTATCCACCCAAGCTAGCACTGAAGAGGAAAAAAACTGTTTTACTGGACAGTTTAGAAGTGACTCTATACTGAGATAAATGTTTACAGTGAGAGAAAGGCAATTTGATCTCTGAATCAATACAGGAGAATCCAGCACATCCTGGCCATGCTTCACCAGGTAAATCCAGAGCTTTTTATTCAAATCAAACCCATTTCAACAATGAAACCCTTCATGCCTGCGCAGTTAATCATTGTCTTGCTTTTAACATTGAGACATTTCCGTGTTGAAAGCCTCTCTGGGTTTTCTGAATAAAATCAAGTAATCCGTATTTACACATTTGTAATCTGTCCACAATCCAACAGCATCGCAGTTCTTAAAACAAGCAATTTAGTCAGTATAAGTGAACAGCCAGCCCCATCGAGGGCTGTGTTTATAAAGCTGTATTTTTGGAGCTTACTTGAAGGGTGGCCACTCTAACTCATATTCAAAGATGCCCTTTCTCCAAACAGTTCATCTGGTGCTAAATGGGAAATACCAGAAGTCCACCCCGCTCTTCTCAAATACTTCAGTCGTAGCAGAAATGTTTCCCGCTAGTGGGTTAAATCCCAGTTACCTCCGATGGCCTGTTTCAGACAGAAAGTCCTGAACTTTTGATGCAATGTAAGAATGGAAACAAACTTTGTTCTTTGCGCCTAAACCCTATAAATACAGCAGCCAAAAGGAATCATCACAGCTTTCACCTCTCACACCTTCTATGCTGTATCCAAGTGTGTTTTGGTACGTAACCCCAGTCCACATGCTAAAAAATATGTATACTTCTACAGCTAGACTTGCAAATTTAAGACTAACTGTTTAGGAAGTAAAGGGGATATTTCTTACAATTCAAAGCAACTTGGGAATATAAAAGCAAAATATTGCGGAAAAATTAGAAAGAAAAATCTTAAAATGTCCCTTATATGCAAATGACCTATGATGCCACTTTGAATGGGGACAAATGAGACTTCTTTATTAGGATCTTGACTGAGCAGGCACCAATACATTCTAGTGTAGCAGAATTCAATGTCTTTGTAAGCTGTAATTAAACGTCTGAACGACACAGCTTTTCACGAATATGAACAGAGCTACCAGAACAAAGTACACAGGGATGTTGCTCCCAGCTAGTCTCAAAAAAGTATCTGATTATCAAAGAATTACTTCCTGGCCTACATACAGAGGCACTACAATTCCAGAATGTTAGGCTGCCCACAGAGTCCATCCGTACTGGTAAAATGTGCGCGTTTCTGAATTGATACCACTACTTACGTAAGCAATTTACATTGCATACAAGTATATACTATACTATTACTTAGATTTATTCTGACAGCTATCAGAACTGTGGCTACTGTTAATCTGCCTTTCTAAGCACAGTCACAGCGTCAATTAATTTGGGAATTACTCGTAAGTTGTGATATAGGCAGATCACGAGGGATTTTTTTTACTTTGTTTTGGTTTTTTTACCTTGTGTAACCTTGCTGTGTAGGGTGAGCCGACACAGCATACATTCCTATAATCAAGGCAACTGCATGAGTGCTGAAGAACTCCTACAAATATTGCATATAAATAAATCAGAGGTTTAAAGCCAGAAGGAACCATTAAATGATTTCCTGTTAGTTCACATCATCATATTTCATTAAGTTCTAATGTGTCAAACTCAGTAACTTATTAAAACAAGCTACCTTCTCCAGAGGTGCAATCATTTTTTGATTTGAAGACAGAGAGGGAGAATTTGTTACCTCCACAAATAGCTTGTTATAATGAGGGAAAAAGCGCAATCTTCCTGTTAAAAATGTGTGCTTTTTTTTTTTTTTTAACTTCAGGTTCAGGCTACTGGTTCTTGCTCAGCCTTTCTCTGCTGGGATAGAGGTGCCTTTGGTAGTTTTTCATCTTCAAGATACGTGTATATTAATCAGTCTCCTTAACATAATACAATATGAGCTCTTGCACAACCTTTTCTCTTCTGCTGAATCATCTGTGGTTCTGTGCCTTACCCAATATTGCAACATCCTTTCTGAAATGTATGCATTCCTTCCTTGCCTAAATAAGGCTACACAACAATAAAGTTTTCCCCTACTGCTCATTTTTCTCCTATTTATGCAAGAAACATTTTAGTATCTTGGCTCACAATGAGAACATTTGTCCAGTTCTAACCTTTAATCCTCTGTAGGATAGTCTCCGTATTCCTAGAATCAGCCGTTTTGGAGATCTTTCAAATTCTGTGCTCCTACATACATAACCTGGCATTTAGTTGTATTGAAATGATACAAGTCACACATTACTAACTTAAATTAGCAAAAAAAGCTAATCAGTCTTTGGAGTAAATGCCATTTTTTGTTTTCTACCCAAAAACTGCGGAAGAAAATTGATTAATATAGGTCTTGGAACCTTTACCAGGAAACCCTTTTGGAAATGCCAATAATTCTTTAGTGACATCTTAAAGGGTAGTTGTCAGTGGTAGAAAGCACTTGGCTTTTTAAAGCAGTTCTTGGCTTGAAGGTCCACATTTGTTTTGGCAACATAAAGCAACATTTCACATGATCACATGATATCACACAGAAAGAGCATGTACGATACTTTACACTTCCTGCCCTTGGAGAAATATTCCAGCTTCCAAATAAAATGGTTTTACAGATCAGCATTACCGTAATTCCCCCCCCCAAATAGGAAGGGTCCATAGTCTAGTGACAAATTAAGAATAAAGTTCAAGCTGCGCTTTGATTTTGACACACCAGCAGATATATTAAGAATGTTGTCATTTTATTCTGTTCAGTCTTTCAAGTAGTAAAGGAATACTGGTAAGGAAGACAGTAAATGAAACATTTACATCCTTCTTCCCCCAATACTTCCTCCCAATCTTACAAACCTGAACGTCAAAGCCTACAGACTTTATCCAGACACGCTTCATGGCTTTCAAGTGAGGAAAATGTAATTTTATAGGCGATTCTTTAGCTTGGAAGAGTTGAAAATAAACAGAAACCCATTTATTTCTATAGGTTCAAGAGACCTTTTTGCTAGCTTCCCATCAGCTGAATTTAAGTAGAATGGATCCTGCTGAGTAAGTGGCTCATACTTCATTACGTAGCAATTTTCAGAAGCAGCCTTCCAGGACCTGTGCTCACTTTAATTAGCTAGACTTATCTGAGAAAGTACTAGTCAACTAAGAAAGAGTGAGACTAAATGATGGATAGCATTATTTAATAACCTCCCTCAACTGTCCACATAGCATCGACGCCCAAGTTGTTCATGAATCAGTTTCTGAACAGTTCAGCTAAACTAATCAGTGCAACATACTTTAAAACAGCCTCTTGTAAGTTGTAGCAGTAGTTGAGCATCTAGGTACAGACTGTCAGCCACCCACACTAAAGTCTGTTTGTGATGAAATTTGACCTCAAGAACACATACAAAATAAAAGCCACAGTACAGGACCATAAGGGACAGCAAGCTTGTCACAAAAAGGATACACAACTGAAGTGGGCCTTGACTTCTTAAGGGAATTTCCCCTCCCGCATCGCTTTAGCTGGTGCTACAAAAACAATCCTTTCTCCAAATCCTGACAGCACAAAAACATCTTTTGCATATCTGCCTCTCCCAAACACTGAATGAGGATCTTCATGGCCACTACCCCATCCAAAAGAAACTGCCTGCTTTCACACACTAAATTCTTTTCAATGGGAAAGGAAGTGCTGGTAGCCTATGGGTGTATACTTCAGAAAGATATTATTCCGCTTCTGTCACATTTAACAAGGTAGGAAAGGTACAGTAGGAAACAGAGGCACTGAAATCCCTTCTCCAACACAGATCTGCTCTCAGTCTACAAGGTGGACAAGATTTGCTGATGCTACAGTAAAAGCATGAATACCCGCAATTACAAACTGGGCTGAAGCCATGTTGTAACCCTTTTCATGGTTTCATCTGTTTTCTAGAATGGCGATGTCCTGACGTCTGGTATGAAGATAATCATCATATAGCTAGAGTTACGTTTACCATGCAGCAACTAGGCACCTGCTCTTCCACCCCAATCTCAGTTACAATTCAGTAGCAACCACCGCTGTAGCAAAAGTTGACCATGATTTATTGGTACATAACCATGATATTGTTTAAAGCTACAAAGATAGATAATATGGTGGTTAAGGAAGATACTAGATTTTTTTTATTATGGGCTTCCTCTGTGTGTTAAGATAAACTGGGAGGGAGGGGACGAGAAGATGACACTCGATAGTGTAGTGTTTCCCTCCCCCCGAAACATTCAGAACAAGTGTAGATGTTGCTGGTTCCTGCAGATGAGTTCTATAACAGGTTATCTTTTTCCACCACATTAAATCAGTCAGGTTTGTCCCAAGCAAAGGGAAGCCATTTTAAAATAGTTATGCTGTCAAGGGGAGAGTCAGATGTAATACACTTTAGTACGTACTTTCTATATGTGGTCTTCTTCAGAGAAAATTTCCAGTTACATCCTGAAGTGCCTAAGCACCAAAACAGTAATCATTTAAACCATTTCAAAAGCTGCTTCTCACATAAAAAAGGTCAGTCAAGCAATTCTGATCTTGAACGAGATCATTCCATGATTATTAATTTCATTATAACCACATATATGTGGTTTATAATATGCTCCAAATAAAGGTGAAGGCCAGTATACACTGACCCCTACCGCAGATATGAAGGTAAGATAAAGTCATAAGCATATTCCTGATATATCAGTCATCGTGCGCTTTCTATGTCAGTCTTATCAGGTGCCATCTCTCAGCTGAAACAGCAATATAATCTGGCACATTAGGAATGGCTCATGTACAATGTTATGACATTAACTGCAGATTTCCTCAAGCCTTCTGTCACTGGATGCCAGGTAACAGACAGGCAGGAGCTGCTCTCACATATGACTATTCCAGCCTAGCAATGTCCCATTCCTAAAACTAGGATGCCAGCTAATACCTCAGCTTCAGCAGACCCGTAGTTCATTCTCTAAGCCATAGATTTTTGCTTTTAAGTTTTTTAGTTCTCCTTGAATTTTACGGGTTAGTCTGTTTCCTTGGCGGACCTCATGTAGAATTGCAAGATCCTGGTCTGGTCCAATATTCAGAGTCACCTAAAAAGGAAAAGAAAAACAGATTAAGAAAAACAAAGCTGTACAGAATACAATTTAGAGAGTATTATGATGAGGATATGAGGGAGAGAACTCTAAAGGAGACCCTTTGTAGCTAGCAAAGAGAATGCTTAAGCTAATATCACTAGGCTAATGCATATCACCAATAGAAAGGTGCTCCAGAACCAAAAACAAAGAACAAAGCTTTCATACGTTATGGTGGTGTATTACTGGCAAGGAAGAAATCTGGATAGAATATAATCGTTTACCCATAACATGTTGACTCCTTTCTAATTCCTGTATTATTTGGAGACCCACAAAAAAAAGCAAGTGAAAATATTTATCAACTAACTTCTATCTACTTCTAAGTACCTCACCTGATATGATGACATGTTGTCATCTTTTGCTACTGGAACTGGAGGTGGTTTAACTGCTGTGGCCAACCTGCTGCCTTCTGAACTGCATATGATTCAAGAGCAGCGCAAGTACAACACCTAGTCTCAGGCCATGCCATATGGCTGAACAAAGGCTGCTGGATAATCAGAATTCCTGATGGCAAGCTAGCCAGGGCTGCCATTTCCTGTCGCCCTGGAAATGGATAGCATGGCAGCCCAGTCACTTTCAACGGCAGAGCAGCACAGCCCTGGCAGCTGCTCTCAAAGCCCTCTTTTCTCTTAGGGTGTCTCATTGTCATCATGTAGTTCTCGATCAAAGATTTTAATATGCAAATCAGGAAATTTAGTCATCTGTAGTCATTTTGACCTCAAGTGATGGGAAGGATTTAAAGATCACTCTGGAGACTTCTAGCAAGTATTTTGTTCCTCTGCCCTCTTGTGGTTACAAGTGTAAAGAAATTAAGAATACAATTAAGAGCACACCCACAGTTACAAAACATACAGGTCTGTAGTAAAGGTATCATAGGCAATTTTTCCCATTCACATGTGCTGTTTAGTCCTTAAAGAATAAAGTTTAAAAACCCACAGCCCAACAAACAATAAAAAAAAAATCGAAGCCTTTAGTGAAGACAAATGCGTTAGTCTAAGTAAACGCAACTGTGCGCCAAAAGTACAGAGAACAAGTGAATCGGTGGCACTGCCAGACTCCTGAAAGAGAGTCAGCTGGACAAAAGCGATGCCTAGATCATCCCCTCTAGCATATCTTAGATAAATCTCTCATCCTAAACTCCAAGCAACATCAAGGCTGTGGCTTCCCTTCTAAGCTGTTCTCATGTTCATCTACACATCTGGAAGCTATTACAGAGTACACAGCTTCAGCTTGTTTCTGCAGTGATTTTTGCAGAGTTACAAATGAGATATTAACAGAGGAATAAATAGAATATTCACAATACTTAAGTCAATGATCTACCTCTTACTGGAACAAACCCGAACACTATGGTCCCCAGAAAGAAAACCAATCATAATTTTCTTTGCAGGATATACTTCTGAAACAAACTACTTTACTGCCTTGCAATTTTGAGACTTACACTTAGCTGTAAATACACAGCTAATGTATAATCAGAACAGTTCCTGGCAAGCTTGATGCCTGACTGATTAACAAAGACAAATCTTTTTTGCTTCATAAAATACCCAAGAGGGCAAGTTTTGTCAAATATATCTAAAGGATCACTTAGGAAAGAAATTATTTCCTTAACTCTAGGGAAATACTGCCTTTAAATACTGAGAATACACCTCTGTAGAGTAAGCCCGTAATAGTCTGCCTCAGAAATGCTTAGCTATTACCTTAAAAAGCTGCTTCTCTACATCTTTCAGCTTCTGCTGAAGCTGTTTAATGTCATTCTTGAAGCCTTCCACTTCCATATTACGACGTTTTTCCAAGGCCTCATATCGCTGCGTCATCAGCTTCAGGCGCTTCCTCATCTTTTCTGAGCGTTCCTATGGAGATGAAAACTCAATAGGGTATACAAAATAAAGGCTGCAAGATCATCACATAGCTAGCAGATGATTACAGACTAATTACCTTAAAGAGTTCTCTGCCAACATCTCCCTCCTCACGAATCCTAGCCAGCTCACCTTCCAGGGTGACACACTGCTCTCTATACATGTTTGATAGGCGCTGTTCCTGCACTAGCTGTTCTTGCAGTGACTAGGACATAGGAGGAACAGAAAGAATCAACTCAAAAGCCAGTGCTCACAAAACTTCCCCTGCTCTGGAAAAGCAAGAGTGATAGATTGACAATATGACAGGCAAATAAAAATTAACAACTGGAGCTACAGCTAATGAAATAACTAGGTAAGGACAATATTCTAACACCACTTCCATTACCAAAACCTTTTAGTTAGGTTATCAGTTCTGCATGACTGCTCATCATCAGTTAAAGAACTCTCTCCTCTTCCCCTTAAAAATAATATTCAATTAATGCTGTAATGCCCCTTTTCACAGCTGCTTGCCCAGTACTGCATTTCAGAAGCATCTGCATTCAGTGATAGATGAAAACAATTCCCTACTGCCTGTTTACTTTCCAATTCCTTACTGCCTGTTTACCCACTTCAGATCTCCCAACTTCTCACTGGAAGGATAGTAGAAGTGGAAGAAAAATCCTGACTACTGTAGGAGAGCTGGGGGGAGAGTAAGTCCTTTCAGTTGATGTCCCCGACAGCAGCAAGGAAGATACAGACACTGCATTCTAAGTCCATTAGCTGAGAGCATTTACGCTAGAAGAAAGGCACGTGCAACAAGCAGGTTAGGAACTGTTGGCCCACATGTCACGTGGCTGGCAGAAGTAGGGATTTGTTCTGGGCATAAAAGAAACTGACGGTGAAGTGCTACCATAAATCCTAACTATGCATTTTATCTGAAATTTGCAAGCAATGCTTATTTTGAGGCAGGAGAGGGTTTTTTTACATTAGTGCCAACAACAATGTAACCTATGGCAAGCCAGTACAGCTTTGAAACAGCTGCTAGCTACTGCCTATCTTGGCAAAACCCAGATGCTTGCAATTTTCTAGTCAAAACCTGTTAAAGAGCCTCTACCTAGGACAAAAAAATTACCTTTATTTCTCTGCTGTGGAGTTTCCAAGCTCCATCATCTGCTCGAAGCATCTTCCTGGTATCTCTCTGCTGCTTCTCTCTTCCTGGCTCCCTGCTGATAATAAGCTGGTCCAGATCTTTGTCAAGTTTCCTCAACAGACTGTCCTTCTCTGCCATCCATGCTTTCTCATTGGCTCGGGCATCAAACTTGAGCTGGAGAAAGTCACGGGTACTCTCATATAAGAGATTTTGGGTCTTACGGAGTCTGTAAAAAGGGATCCCAGTGGAGTTAATTAACTTCTTTCCTAGTTCCTACGTTAATTTCCTCAGTCATCATTGCAAGTTGGAAGAAGCACGGAATAAAAAGATGCGTGCTTTCCTAGCGAGTTTAGCTCTTCTCATCTAATGAACAAGTGATATTCTTCCAATGTGAAATAGGATTTTTTAATACGTAGATTATTCCATTCATCTTCTTCCACACACACTACCAAACAGATGGCTGCATTATTTGCTTTTCTGCCTGCTGCAGGAAGCAACATATTGAAAGCCAAAATATTTCTGTTGTTCCCCTCTCTTCTCATCTCATGACTACATCATGGTCATTCTCTCACTCACTTATCTGTTATAGTTTTGATCTTGTCCTGGTCCCGCTGATGCTGGACCTGGGCTTCCTCCATGTGAATCCGCCTGTCCTCTAGTAGTGCCTCAACCTGTTCCTTGGATAATTTTGTCTGTTCTTCTATCTGAGCTTGCAGGGCCTCCACCTGAATAAGCAAAGACATTACTGAATAAGACCTCACAGCAGCTCTGATCCTGTCCTTGCAAGTCTCTTTTAAATTCCAAGATTGAGATCAAAGACTCTACCCAATAATACCTTTAAGAGTTCTAATTTCTCAAATTCTTATTTTTGTTTTCATACTAAGTATTTCAAACAACTAAAACATGTTAAGAAAAAAATCATGCTATAGGCAAGACAGGCATATTATAAGCAGCAACAATAGATTGAAGATATTGGAAAGATTTAAATTGCACACAGGATGTGACAAATCCTGTGGCATATGCACAGACACTTCTGTCCCTATGCTACCATCTTTCAATGAAATGGTGATATAAAAATACCTAAATTCTAGGAAGGCAGCAAGTCCACATATCTTGAACAAAAGAAATTACTCAACCAGAATGAATTACTAAATGTAAACAGGATAAGTGAAGGAGAGGGATGCAAAGAATCTTGATCTAGGGCACATAGTCAGGGAGACAAATTGGAACAAGTAATTGAAAAATGTGCATCTGGCCTATGTGTAAGAAACTATCCGAAAAAACTTGGCGTGTATTTCGATCGCTTATTTTTATGACAATTTTGTATGATGCTTTTGCTCAAGAATAAGTGTTGTTAGACAGCTAACTGGCCACTAGGTCAGTCACCACTGCCCTTGAATAAAAAAAACCAAACAAACAAACAAGCAAAAAAAACCCCTATCTGCTGTACAAGTTTGCTCTTTAATTTGCTTTTCTTGACTCATCCTTCCTCGTGCCTTACATACAGCTTCTGGTATCTTCCCCAATTCATGATTCTGTACATTTTATCTTTCATTCTGTCATGCTGTCTACACCCTATCTTTCGCTGAAGTCTAGCAAAGGGAACATTTCATTGTAACATTTGCATTTTATCGGGGCTGCCTAATTCCGTCTCAGACACATTGCCTTTGTCAGACCTCCACAAAATACCCAACCCTACAGATCTTATGTGAGTTTAATGTAAATTCATAGCCACAATCAAATTATGGGAGATATGGCAACACATTCCAGTTGACATTACTGGAACATCTGCTCATGTAAAGCTTCCAGAATCAGACCCAAGTTCTTAAATCTAAGCCTACATTCATCGCAAAGAAACAGCTAAGTAAACTGGTAGAAAGTAGGAATCCATAGTGAGATGTGGGGACTGATAAAATTGATATGTCTACATCTTATCTAAGCAGACAGCATATTTGTCTAGCATAATTTCCTGGACAGCCAGGAATTATGTCCATCGGTTAGCAAATGTTTTTACCTGAAGTAGAAGTGTCTGATTATCTCTCTGGTATCTCTCAGGACTTTCTGGTTTCTCTCCTTTTGCTGCTGGTTTTGAAGTGCTCCTCTTGGTGCCTATTGCAGAAATTTAACCGAAGTAGAAAAGGGTTTTCCAATCTACCTGCAGTACCTTTCCAAGCATGAAATAGTCTATGTTCTGGCAGGCCTACAAGAACAGGAAAAAGGTTGCCACTGCTACAGTCACAAGGACTTCTAGGAGGCCTAGCTGGAAGAAAAGAGTTTCAGAACTTACGGTGATCGCATACCTTTAGCCCACGCTATTTAGGCAACCTGCTAATTTCCTTGGCATATATAGAAAGCAAAGTTAACAAGTTTTCTTAAATAAATGATGAATAGGCAGATGACACAGCTGCACAAGCATCAAGCCTTGAATAAGTTTTGAGCTTGTTAGCTAATTTCAGTCAATTTGGAAGAGGCAGTTCTGTCAAAAGAGAAAATCAGTAGGCAGGCATACAGACCCACACTACTGTCTAAACTAAAGGCAGGCAGAACCTCACACCTCGGAATGGCTGAGGTGCCTGTCCAGTTGGTACCTGCATAGTTCCAGAACAGCCTCCACGGTCATACCAGCCTCTTTCTTAGCTGAGCAGATCACGGACATGAGAGCCAGCTCAGGTTATTTTAAAAGATTTTGAAGGGAAGCCAAGAGTACTGCATGTATATGTATGTACACATAGACACATTTAGGGAACTTAATAGAGGTATACCAAAGTACTCACAGTAAGGAATTATTTTGGTATACCGGACACAAACACACAGAGAAACAAGTATCAACAGCTGAGCTGCTGTTAATCAGCTTGGTGTGGTACCTGTTCTAGAAGTATCATTTCGTTCATGTGACTCTCTGGATTTAGCTGGTCTTTGCAGAACAGTAACCTATAGAAACAAGATTAGATATCTGTGCTGAACATCTGACTTCTCCAAAGTTGCAACGATCAAGAACAAATCTTAGAGTAAAATGAGATCTACAAAAGAACAGCATTACCTTACTTCTACCACAATACAAGGAAGACATTCACAAGTGTAATGTTCGTGTTGAAAAGTTTCCTTTATCATGGCTGAGTTTTGCCATTTCCGCCTCTATTTTTTTTCACCGAAACAACTGGAAAGTAATCCTGCCTTTGCTGGCTTCATTAGGATGAAAATCAGCACCCTCAGCAGGAAAAGAAGCATTTTGGGGACAGAGAGGAGAAGAGGAAGGTAAAGATGAAGATTATGTTATTTCCTTCTTTCATACTCCTCCTTGCCTTAGCAAGACAGAGAAACATGAAGCTTGACTTATCAGGATATTCACTCAAGCTACTGAACAAGCCTGGGATAAAAGCTAACCGATAAAACTATTGAAACAACTCAACTGTTGAACTGAAACCCACCTAACAAAAACAGGAGGCCATGAGGGAGCAGCTTATAACCCCAATGCTTATCTTGAGGTCGATGCTATATAATAGGCCTAATTTTAGAGCTACCCTGTATCAGGGAATTTTAAAGCTTCTGTGAGATTTTTGAACTGCTTGAGCAGTGCGGAGCAACCACAAACACTGCAGCATATTTCAGCCTTTTTCTGCACCTTATTCCAAGACAAATCCTATATTCCATCACAGTTTCTGTATGTCCGAATCATTCATGACCCGTGACTTTCTTAAGTAGGTTCAACTACACTGCACTTCATATGCGCTGCCATTTAATCAATTTGACATTATTTCTGAAATACACGATACAGTATTGCCTAGAGGGGATGGCTCTTCTGCAGTCTCCTGCCCAGGAAACTGCTGCAGCAACCCAACACTGCTTTATTCTTTACTGATGCCCTAAGAGATAGGGACTCTGAGATAGCTTATCTTTGAACACCGCACCTGGTCATTTTCTACACTTCCTTTTTTTCTTTTTCCCTTTGTAGTGTTCTCTCCAGCTTCTCAGTGACCATTTTTTGCCAGGCTTCAGACTCCTATCTGACGTTTAGGAGGCTGATCTGGAGGTATGTTTTGAAGGCAGAAGGGGACTGATGCTAAGAGGACCTACTTCCAGTGTGCTTGTTCCTACTTATCTGTCAGCAGCTATACTAAAACCTGATGTTGCTACAGAGCTACAGATCCCTCCTGCTTTGGGCTCATTTAGCAACTTTTGACTTGTGGGACAGATCTGGTCTGTGGTCGGCCTCTGGGGTACAGATCTTCATGTTACAATCAACAGCAGGGTTCTACAGAAAAATGGAACTTGCCTTATGTGGAGGCTCCTTGTGAAAATATGTAATTTCCCCTTTGTCTGTTCCCACTAAAGCCAGAAGATGTTGAATTTTTTTTCTATCCTCCAGTTCCCTGGAATTCAAGGAAAGTGGTCAGCACATTGCTATTTTTAAGTACATCAAGACATTGTGATACACTGTCCTCCTAGTTTACTCGTTAATGCTTACAAGTTTTCCAAACCGTTGCAGTTCTTGAGAATACTGCTTTAAGAACAGACTCGCAAAGACACTACTGATGTTGCCAATATAATACGACCACCAATTCCGCTGGCATTGGGGAGCATTTCTCTTTTCAAATATGACAATACTACATAGACTGATACAGCAATAGCACATGGTGGTAAAGCATTTGCATTCCAGAGTTACGAACTACCTAAAATCCTTTCAGATACTTCATTCAAGAGATCGTAAGTGTCCATTGTTTTTAAAGCAAACTACATTAAGGGCTGTATCAGACTTTTCGTCACACTCTTGAGAAGTGCCAAAGCACACCAACACACGTTTTGACTTAAGTTCTTGAAACTCTTGATACTATCACCCACAAATGTTCTGAAGAAGGTTGGGAACTCTTTTGCCACTGGCAGCTAGTCTGGTACAGCAGGTTATATTCCAGTTCACCAACTGAATGGCATTAAAAAGGAATGGCTGTCAACATCATCTCATAGAGCGAGAGGAAACTATTTGCTTTGGTCTGTATTTTCTATTTGAGCTTAAGTGTTTTTAGGGCTGAGGGAAGAAGTTTTGCCAGGCAGGTGCAAGGTCTGTGTATTGGGTTTGCGTGGCACGGTTTTGGTAGCGGGGGAGCTACAGGAGTGGCTTCTGTGAGAAGCTGCCAGAAGCTTCCCCCATGTCCGATAGAGCCCATGGCA